ATATTATAAAGTTATAGATATATATACACCAAGCCTAAAACTGTGACATCTCTCAATAATGCTAATAAAACAATAATAATTGAAATTAAAAACTGGAAGGTTTGTTCAGGCTAGCGAAGTTTCGTGTCTTATCAACAAGACACTGAATGTCGTTTATCTTCCAGACGCTGTTCACCTCGGTAAACTCTAACTTTTAATGTGTTACTTTTAATTTATTGCCCCTACACAACCTTCTTTAATCTGAAACTTCGGAAGGTTAACAGCGCAAACTTTGTGTTTATCTGGTTTAACCTAACTGCCAGATACCGATGACCTCGCAGTTACCTTTTTACAGATCACTTTGGGAACCAGAAAACAAGTGGTTTTTTTTTTTTTTTTTTTTTTTTTTTTCGTTTTTTTTTTTGTTTAGCTTTAAGAGGGCACTAGCTCAGTAGAAGCCGAAACTCAGCTTTCATTGACGAAGTAAGCGAAAACAAAACAGGGGACGATACCTGCTATATAATCGAGTGAAGCGATGATAATGCCAAGGTCGGGGTCGAGAGAGGGAAACAGGCAAATGGTTACTCTAGCAAGTGGCTGAAGTGTATAGTTTGGTGGCTACACATAAGAGAAACAAAGGAAAACACAGAAGAAATGCTACTGTCTGCCTTTTATTGCGAATTACCACTAAAAAGGCATAGTCAAGAACCACTAGCATTCAGTCTATTTTCACAGCCTTCTTGTGGACGAAAAAGTGTACAAATAGCTTCATATGCCTTGACAAATTGTGATGGATCATTCTTTCTAGAACATTCGATTTGTTTAGTAACGTGTAACCGGTCAAACGGCAGGAGTTTGGCCATTTATGACCGTGTTTCCCAGCATCTTAATTCATCAGTGGAGAATGTAGGTGGCCAATTCAACGGCAAGCAGTGGGGAAGAAATATCTAGCACCAATTCATTACAGCAAAGCTTGAAAACATGCATTCTTTGCTCGATGATGGCTTAGCGTATTTATCCTGCACGTGTTATCAGCAAGACAATGAAGCAAGGGTGGTAAACAGGTCAACACGAGGGGTCCACTGAGTTTCATAAACACTGCTCCACGGGTAGCGTGTGTTAAATTAATTAACCACTGAAGTGAAAGTAATAATAACCTATTCCATGCTTGTTAAAGCCGTTTGTTTTTCTCTTGTTTACGCGTTAATGCAAAACATTGGTACGAGGCTGGTCTAACAATGAATTACCAGTCTTGTAAAAATAAAACCACCAGCAATTGTTCGATGTTTATCAAAGTGACTTAAAATTTACCACTCTAAATTTTAGTTTCTTTTAGCCTGTCTACAGGAAACTTCAATTTAACCAAACTTGAAAAATATATTTTACTTTATTTATGCTTTTTGTTGCCCAAAAAAAGCTCATTTCAAGTTTACAGCCTGGCGTGAATAATTCCTCTGTGAAAGTTAATTTTCACAGCTGTTGTTAACTTACGGCATTCGCGTTGTTTTATTTAACTGGTCCCGTAATGGAATTGGAACAGGAAATGCCTAGCTGTGAAGCCGTTCATTTAACTTTCTACAAATGTTACTTGCAGTCCTCTCACATTTTGCAGCTTCCACGAGTATGTTATATGTAGAAGCTATAAAAAGAAGTAACATAAAGACACGATAGCTAGCTATAGGCGATCAAATAATTCATGGTCTAGTTGTCAGGCTGGTTCACCTAACAGTACGTAGTTTAGTTAAGAAAAAAACCCTGAAATAATGCGGTTAGAATATTGAATTTTCTGTATTAGATTTCTTAATTCACTTTTATACGAATCTTAAATGCAGATGCAAAACTGATGAACGTACAACTTTTGATATCGTGCCACCTTATTATAAAGTACAAACATGTTTTCTTGGTTAGGGCAAAGTAGGGAGATTGTCATATCAATATGAAATAAAATGTTATATTTTATCATTCTTTTACTTTGCTTTAGCAACTAATCGATTTCTATTGACCACGAATCAACTCTCATCAAATGGTTTAAGTTTAAGCTATTGAAGATTGGTGCAGAGCACAAATCTTCAAACAAACTCCAAAGCTAAATCTGCACAGTGCCTTGATTTCTTTGTGAAGTCGATTGAAATATTCTTCTAGTGTTTATTACGAGAGCCATGCGTACAACGCCAAACGTTTTAAAAATGTTTCCTCTGAGTCCATTACAAACGGGACAATGGAAGAGAAACGCGAAATAGGTGGCTCTCAGTCCACAAACACGTTTCACGAGACAATGTTGAGTCGATTCGCTCCAAATTTGATTTCAGGCATTACAAAGCAAAACAGATAACACTCGAAAATACGGCCTAATCGGAACGGTATTAAAAATCCAAATTAATTATTTTTACCCAGTCATTATTTAACAATTACCGTAATGTCGAAATGTTACTATTTTTCTCCGTAGTGAAAAATTACATATTAAGCAAGGTAGTATCTACTATTAAGATTCTTCTTCTTTTTAATGTCATAGAAAGTCATTGTTTAGATGGTGAAATCAAAAGGATACCCTTTTCAGTGCATTTCGCCTCTAATCTACTTTCCTTTTTCGTTTGCAATTTTGTTAGCTGATCTGTCTGACGTAATGCGACATCTGGCTTGTATTCGCCGATCGTTCGATTCAATTACAAAATAATTACGTTTGTACAGAAACGAATATGTGTAGAAATATTAACGCAGATAAGTTCTGTGCTGAAAGGTACAAAAATCAACAATAGAGAGACAGTAAGCCAGAATATATGAAAACAAAAAAACACGACATAGCCTTGAAAGAGCTCACCCTAAGAAAAAATCGGTTAGCCCTGAGCGCGAGACGTAACCAAAAATTATGCCGGTGTGCAATGGAAAGAAGGTAGCTTCTTAATCTCATTTGAATCTATGTTACTCAATCTTGACCAATCCTGTTGTTTTTTTCTTAAGTTTTAAGCACCTTTATAACTTTGAAGATTATCATTCGGACGGCCTTTTTCTTTGCATTGAAAGTTAAATTGTACTTCCCAAAGTATACTCTAAATCTCGGAAAATATACTTTCTTAGTATAATATTTGTTACAATGAGCATGACAACCCGATTAAGAGAGTGTAAATCTTCGTAATTAAGCAACTGATACTGAACATCTTTTAAAAAAGCTATGAGAAATCTTTACTTATAAACCAGAATTGACCGAATTGTCTCAACAAAATGCAAACTGATTCATATTCATCTAAAAAATCTTTCTAAACTTTCATCTCTACCATGCTACCCCACCGTCTAAGACTGAATAAAAGTGATCACAACATAATTAAAGAGACCTCAAACAAATGCCAAATTGGTGTATTTTTCTTGAAAACCAATATCAGCATGCACATTCAAAAATCACACTGCTGAACTAAGTTTGCAACAACCTTCAGGCAAGTGGAACTCCTAATTCATTGTCTCCATTTTAAATTTCAGCTGTAGTCACTTTTCGTATCCCAAGTTATTGCCTTCCATTATTTCCTGCCAATAAATTGAAAATACTCTAACTATAATCGCCAGCGACCACTTGGACGTTGAAATTTTGTCGTGTTGACGAATTCACTGTTATGGAGAATTAGCGCAACAACCTTGTTTACGCCTGACCTCATGGCAAACAACTTACATGCAAATTTTACGCTTTTTCGTCTTTAGTGAATGTTTTTATCGAAAAGCATGGTTGATTGTAAGATGAAATGGCATATTTACTTACTAAATTAGTTCTGCGTTCGCTGTGAATAAATTTTAAACTGCTTGTTCACTTAATTTAATATAACTGCCTCGTGATAAAGTCATCTTTGTCGTCGCGTACCTAATGATATCACTTTTCTGGAACCTTCTGTCTCCTGATAAAGTAATATACCTTTTCTCGCAGACTATGTGACGATCAGTTCCATTCTTTTCAGTGAAAACAAATTATAAGGGATTCTGCAATCGCTCCGACTGTAGTATCACTTACTTGTAAGTTGCTGTTAATACGTCTCGCATGATCTCTCTATGTATTCATTCAACAACACCTTCTGTGAACAAATAGCTTTTATTCTTTTGTGTGAAGAGCTAAAGCAAATCTCGCTATTCATGGCGAAAAGACTGAAACAACAAAGCCTTTATAGAATTCTTATGTTCCCTATCTGTGGTTATTGTCCATACAATGTCTTATCAAATCAGGTGACTCTTCGAAACAGAGAGAATAACGCTTCTTAAGTGATTCACAATATGGTCTTTTGTTTATGCCATGTGCTTTGTAACAGAACAAAAGGTTCCATTTGTTTACTTAACATCAATGGAGGCAGTAACCTCACAAGGCTTGCGGGGTGAAATGTCCATTATATTATTTCAATTAGCGTATAAATTCATTACCTGTGAACGGGAAAGCCATTTATCACAAAGTCCATTAATGGATTTCAAGAACTTTTAACATTCCATATTTACTTACAACCTGTCAAATGACCAAGTTCAGGACCGAACTCAATGGTTCCATTCGAGTGCCGATGCAGGCAATTGGCTAGTCTTCAAGTATTTCAAATGCAAAGTAGTTAATTCGATCTGTTGTTATCAGCGAAAGGTTCAGCTAAACATAATTCTTTCCAACATATTTTGTCTGGTTTAAGAAGAGCTAATCCCTTGCTTTAGGGCAGTCAACATCTGATGGGAAAATGAGTCAGTTACAGATAAACTAGTTGACACCATTCATCTCAGATTCATCGAAGCATTTCTTAAATAAAGAGAAGCACACCGTTTACAACAATCAAATGACAATTGAAATCTGCATTTTCGCCTGAAAGACAACGAGGGCGTTTCTTAAACAACTCCAGTTACGTAACAAATTTCATTCCTCTTCTTTTTTTAACATAGCTGGGTCACTTTGTCAAATACATGAGAAATGCTCGCCTGTGGAGGTTTACGTTATCCAAATTATTTCTGAGTTAGACATCTGTGTAACAGCTTTTTTTTTTTTTTTACCAGATTCAGGAGACTAAGGCTGTTCAAGCACGCACTGTGTTCATTCATCAGAGTTAAAGATCCACAACGGGGACTTTGAATTTCAAGAGCCGCTTCTACACAGCATGCACAGCGAGACTCCGGGACAGATCGAAGAAGTTAAATACAACAAAAAAAAAAAAGGTGACAGCAGTTGCAATTCCCCTTACACGTGCTTTCTTAGCTTAACCAAAACAGCTGTTCCTTCTCGACTTCTCGGCACTGGCTTCATCGAAAGACTAAGAAACATCTGTGTGCATCTGTTGTTCACCCGGTGCGTAGAATTTCTCGTTCCTGAAGGTGCAGAAAAGAAGAAATAGCGAATCAACACTGTATGTTTGTAACTGACTTTGTTGAAAAAAGAAAGGCCTCCGTTAGAAACAGAACCGTCGCTTATGTATTCAGTTTTCGGTGCGAATATTTTGAAGCCGGCGGGATGAGTATTGTGAAGGTGGTGTAATCTAATGGTCACCTGTTATTTCGTTCCTAGGCCGCTCCATATGCGAATCCTCCGAACAGAGCAAAAAGGATAAATCCAAACCAAATACTAATTTAATCGCAGCCAGTTTAGAGGAGAGACCTTCGAACGCGTACTGTGTCACTGTTAAAACCCCCCGAAACGGAACTTAATCGTTTTGCTGAAGTATCAGGTAAAGCTGCCTCAAACCATTTTCCAAGTTTGTTCTCAAAATGTCGTCACCTTTATTCATAATTGTTTAGTTACAAGGCAATTTAAGTTTCCACTTCTCCACCGTTACGGATATTTCCTGATAAGCATGTGAAAATAGTATAAATTCAGAATGCTATAAAAAAAACGGATTACTTTGACGCAAGGGAATGTGCAGTTCTGAATCATCGCCACCATTTTATAGTTAGATTACTAATGTTTTAATGGGTCTCGAAATTTCAATTCCTAACGTCGTCAGGGTCTCTGACAGAATCCATTGTAGAAAATGACACATCTGTAGAACGGCTAGCATCTATGGCGTTTTAGTTTGTAAGAAAACACACCTGGTACATATTACAACCGCTCATTCTAAGACAACAGAGTGACCGGCTGGACCTCACCCTAAGGAAAATACGTGACAAATTACAACGCCACTAAAAGTTCCCTAGATCGGCTCGTCTTCATAGCCTGAATCTGGTCGAATGCTGGCTTACACTCTACTAATTTGAGATCATTATAACCGCTTTATAAATTAAATTTACACTCTATCTCCGTTTGTATGGATATCGATGACCCAAGCGTAGTACAACAGCGTTGCTATCCTTCCTTGTATGAGCATCTTTGCAACTTGTACCTCCATTTGCAAGCTGAAAATCGCGAATTTTATGAACTTCCCATCATAAAGTTTTATTAGAGAGAGTTTATTTTCTATAATCATGCAAGTAATTGAAGGTTCCCGCGAGAGTCAGTCGAATTCTGCTGACAGGTAATAATCTATATTTTGATCTGACGAAACCAGTCAGATCTCTGGCCCGCAACTTTTCCGCTTAGGCAATACGATTACACGAGGCCTACTGACAAGCTACAGAAGAAAGGGCGAAAGGTGCATGAATGTAATATAAACAGTGAACAGGGAAAGCTGAAGAAATTTTTCTACACGGCTCAGGCTGACAGCTGCTACCGGTGACCTAACTACTGAAACCACAATCGAACTAAAAAAAAACTGTGGCTTAAACGAGAAAGAACTACACGCCTAAATTGTGAAATAGATAGCATCTATTAGGTTATGTATTTACTTCCACTGGCGTCGCATTGTCTTATGACAGCCTAAAAGGTTGAATGGTTCGTTTTCCAGTGTAGGTTATTCTCTTGGTTGACTGTTGCATCTGATGTCAAAAACAGCATAATCAAATTATAATGGACCTCAGAAAAAAGATCTCTTGAATTGGCAAGAACCATGAGTTGAGGCTCACATCCTCATCTGAACGCCTTGCAAGCAGCTGTTTATCGATGAACAATATGCTGGAAAAAATGACAACATGCGAACTGCGCGAAACTGTTTTGCAAAGTTAAGTAGATTCTTTAGCACAGTTCAGGTTTGATAGCTCAGCTTTATATTGAGCCTTTTTTACACTCTTCTTCGAATTGACTTTCAATTATATTTCAGGATCTTCATATATACTCCAATATCTTGCAATGTTTGTGTTTGGAGAGCCAGGGCGTTCAATTTCGATCGTCCGGTCAGTTCCCCTGCGTCATATGTATAGGTTGAATTTACTGTTGGTTCTTGCCTTGCTCTGACGGTTTTCCTTCGGGGAGTCTAATGTTTATCCTCCTGAAAGACTAAAATTTTGCAAAGTCCAATGCCCCTGGGCCTGCATGACTGTATGACTGAACCAGCTTGGGTTGATGTGACCTCCTCTTTTAGTATTGCACTTTATATTGCGAAGACCATCAGCTCACTCAAATTAGCAGAAAGAGAAAATATCGATGGCGGGGAATTGGAATTACGGTAATGCATTTGTCATACTCATTTTCTCAGTAAATGATAATATAATACTATATAATATATGAGTGTATTCTTTGCAGTGTTCTTTACTGCCAACTACTTTATACATTTCTCGACTTCTGGGAATTCTGAGAATGATGTTTGAAAATGCATTAGCTGATTTGATATGGTTCTGATTAGTTTCTTCAAGCAGTTACTAGTGGAGGTGTTTGTCTTCAGGTTCAACTGTTAACACTGACACTTGCTTCATTGAAGTTATCAGAGAATTCAAGCTGAATTGAATAACGAATCCTTACTTGAGCTTTAACTCGTAGCATGATTATTCGTCTCGTGCGACATCAAGGTCTTGGATTTGGAATCTAAAGAATTCATAGCAACTGTGGAAGTTTGAAGGCAAACGGCGCTATGGCGGATTGGGTCAATTCATTCTTTGTTGAGTTACTTGTTCGTTCCGGCGATCTTTCCATCCTCATACCTTTATTATGATTAGTCTGATCTTTTTGGCGCCTTTCGTTATCAGCAAAAATAGGTTAATTACGTAGTGCTGAGATTAAAATCGTGACCTAAATAATACCCGGTATTTTATTCAGGTGGAGGCAAGAGCTTCACATGACAATTACTATTCCATGTCCCCTAAATGTGGAGAACTGGACCATGTGCTCACCATGTTTGCTACTACAGCTGTTATTTTGCCCAGGATCATAGAACCATGAAAAACGTTCTGATATTCCCCAAAATTGGTTAGGCTTCAAATGTATCTGGATGGCTTAATTACATGAATAGTGATAAGTACAGTATTTTGTTAAAGTTCCGTGAACTTCCCGTCTGCTTATCATCTAAATATATCACTCGAAGAAAACTTGAAATGCGATACATACTCTGCTAAACAGCAACTGTCTCGCAGGCATAACTTACAATACCATGGAATGTCTGGGCAGGCATCTATTAGTCTTCAAACAGGTTAAAGATATTTTAAATCGTCGTTTTCAAGTAAATTCTCAAGTCCATATTTCTTTTTTGGGGTTTAGTACCATGACATCCCAAGTCGACAATCCTCGACAACGGTTGACATAAAAAATGTTCGGGGAGCTTTATTATGCAATTTCAATGGCACATTGAGGCAAGATTTGCTCAGACAGCTCTTTGTTCCTCTCAACTATTTAATGACTTGCTTCTGTTCGTGGGCAGCGAAATGAAATTGAAGACAACAATGCGTAGGCTAATGGACTTTCCGCTTGGTACCTGTCCGAATGGACAGTGAACGCCCCTTGGAACTGGGCCGCCAAGAAAGAATGAGATCACGTTTCAAGTTGGATATTTTAGTTTCTCAAGCAAACCACAGGATGGTGACTTTCACTCTGAACTAGCAAACTACTGAAAGTCTTGGGTTAAACCTTGGACCAAACAATATATCGCGAAGTAATAAAGGTCATTCACTTACCATGACTTGACGAGGCAGCCTTGCTTTAATCGTCGATGGAATTTTAGGCTGACATAGAGACTGAAGTACAGCCGTGATGGATCAAGATTGATAGCAAAAAAAATATCAGAGGAATGAAAACAAGTGGCGCCTTGCTGAAATCATAACACCCATCAAAGGGTTGTTATAACTAAGCTTATAAATCTCAAATTGAAATTGGAGCCTAATCAAGCGGCAAGGTTTTGGATCTTCCTCGTTCCCCGTTGTTTGAGTTTAATTCAGTTTAAAATAACAATAGAAACAGAATACTGATCTTGTGTTCTGAGGGACTTAAGAATTGTTTTCCAAAAAATCCATTAGCCACTTAACTGTATATTTGTATAACTTCTTATCGTTTTTTTTTTTTTATTGCTTTTTTCAACAACTGTTATGTTTTTAGATGAGGCATGCAAAGTTCTTCTGACTCACCTGAATGTAAACTTAAACGACTTGTTTACTTACCCGCAATGAGGCGACTCTTATTAATGGATGCTCTTGAAACGTTTACTATTCTCAGTGACCAACGAGGCTTTCTCTGTCAGAATTTACCATCACACACCTGGACAACTTCAAATTACTTGGCAAAACCATAACTCCTAAGAACATCAAATAATATCACATTTTCCACAACTTTGATGCCAGTCTTACAAAAGAGTTCCATCCTTAAACCATAATTTCCATCTCGTTTCTATTCGCCACCAGTCGCTTGTGACTGACCAACCTGCAACCCCTGTTGAAGGCCTTTGTTCGTTAGACCTTCAGCGAATGCGATTTTCTAATTAGCTGAATTGACTTAGTCAATTCCATGACCACCTCCACCAAGGTAGCCATGCAAGCAGAGTAATAATCACCCAATTGGCCTTAAATGCGCGTTACGGGAATACATATCGGCCTCTACTCTTTCAAATATAATTATCAAACTTATTACGTTTTTATGTTTTAACGTGTTTGGTTTCCTTGTGGACCCTTTAAAGGGATTCACGCGTGGTTTACTCCATTTTTTTAACTGTCATGAATTTTACTTAAGTGACTTGTTTGAAGTCGTCGGGTACAAGATCGTGATAGACCCAGTTGAATAAACTGGAGAGCTTTTTTTCAAAGCGGTCATTTATGCAACTGTTCTTAAAACAAACAAAACAAAGCACAGTCAACAGATTTTGAATTGTAACTAAACAACGTGTTCCAATGTAGTTACTGAGATTTTAAACAATGGCATGTTTATCTACAATTCTCTTCGCTTCACGGAACCCATTTCTTGAGCGAAGAAACCTATATCTTGAGATCTGAACAAAACACTGCCCACGTGTTAAATTATGCGAACAGTTTTAGGTTAAGTTTAATTTCGTTTCAAAAATATAGGTAAAATCAACACTCTTCGCTCGCGTGAACTTGCCCTAGTTTTCAAGAAAGTCAAACGAAATAATTTAAAAGTTATGCTTGGCGAATGTCATCGCACGGAATACGGAAGTGGATCGAAAAATATTGAGAAGTAAAGCGCTCTTAGTTAAATAACCACACATACACTGGCACACATAAACACACACACACGCATCTGGTGCAATAAATGGCGTTAAAATTATGTTCTTATATCTCCTTGAAGTGTTTTTAACTTGTGTTTTGAATAAAAGAAACAACGGGAGTTGATCGGGACCTTAACTTGTGGGAGGCAACTAAATAGTTTGAAAGACTGTTTTAAGATATCGTGCTGGGTACGATATAACATTTCAACAAAGAAATCTTAGTGATTTCAAACATAAGCTGTTTAGCTTCCCGTAAGCTATTCAAAGTAAATCTTTTGACAATATGCTGGAAAACAATTGCACTTAATTTTCCTATTTGTATGACTGAAAGACTTAGCAAAAATAGCGCATATGCCACACTCCTGCGCGCAGTGACAATTTCACGAATACAAAGACAACAGACGTGGATTATTAGTGTTCCACTACTTTACGCTTCAGGACATCAACTATTGAAGATACTACCTCTTAATGGTATATAGCAGAACAAGGCAATGACATTTTCTGACAGATCTAAAACTGGTATTTAAAATAGAGCCGCGACAAAAGTCTACTGGCACCCGAATTGAAAACCTAATTAATAAACTGCATTAAGTTGTATTCGATACAGTTTGCTTTTCCGCCCATTTGTATGCCCTATCGGTGGCATTAGATACACGCATTATTGAAACATCCATATATCTTCCTTGTCAAATTAAAATCTATAAACAACTGGCGTTTACAGATTTTGAATAAAAGGGATAGCATAGTCAATTCTTTGAAAGACTTGCCCGCCTGCCTAAAAAAGATTAGTTTCCATTGAGTTGTTAGAAACCATAGAATACGAACAAAAGAAAAGATTAAAACACCAAAATTACTAAAGCCAAATTATCTTGGCGTGAAATAATCGCATTCATGGTAGGCCCTTGGTCATATATCATTTTGAATTCATTTCTAAACATTCGTATTCAAAGAAAAGAAACAATGCAGTGTATGGTGGCAAGCCATGACAGGTAATCCCTTGTGTTATCAACGGGGCTTTTGTCTTCGGTTGCCATGTAGAATCGAACACGTTCTTTGAGATAACAAAGTGTGGATGTTTTGTCCCCTTACAATGAGAAAGGTAGTTTACACTTCATTGTGAAATGATATAATTTTCTACTATTCGAGTACATGCTAAAATCACCCCGTTTGATAAACGTGCGGTCCGCTCTATGTGCGTGGTCTTACGATTTCTGTCTGCAATATTGGAACGCGCAGAGCCAGGCAAGTTACCTGTAACTCTTTGGAGCAAGATTTCCCACGCTCGACGGCTCGAGGAAAGGCCACAGTTTCAGTTGGTAAATTATTTTTATTGTATCAATAAACACTCTAATAAGCTTATAAACTGTACAACCCGACTCACTCCGAAATAGGATAAATTTCAAAAAGAGAGATCATTTAGATTCTTTCTTCAATATATACACATTAACACTCGTGAAGACCTCAATACAGCCACGAAACCTTAAAAAAGACATGTTAAAGCTGCCTCAAAGTTCAAAGTGTCTTTTTAATTGAATGAAAAGTAAATATAATCACTATTATTCTCTTCACGTCTTTGCAAATGTTCTATCCTTATAAACGATTTGTGCTCTATGATCTCGTGATTTCGGTCAGTGCATTATATACAAACATTGTCGTCTCAACTAGTTGAAATGTTCTTTGTATAAATTTTATGAAATTCTCTCTAAGAAAAACAACAGTCACTTCTTACTAGTAGCCGACATCCGGTCTCAGCATAACGAAGTCCATAGAGGACCTAGGAATTCCAGTTCTGCTGTCGATAGCGGTTGGAGCGTGAACTATAGATGATGATTCGGGCAAAACGCTTCGATGGTGTACCACATGTCCAACTTGCATAGAGTGTGGCATGGATGGATGGTGACTTGGGTAACCGATAGGAGGTCCGCAAGAGATTTCTCTTCCAACAAGCGGTAAATGCGTCGAGCAAGGTCCTTTCATTTCAGTCACAGTCTGCATTACCGGATAATGAGGCGCGAAATGGTAAGGTGGGGGAGGTTCCGCTAGTGTACAGTTTCCGGAACAGTTGCTAAAAATTGGACCTGAAGGCATTAAATGCCCAGGCGGCATCGGGCTACAAAGCGAAGAAGGAGGTGGGTATCCCATCCCATTCATCTCATGATAACCGTAAGGGTTGATGCTCTGCGTTTTCAACTTGGGCGTAGATTTTGGCTTTCTTTTAGGCTGGTATTTGTACTCGGGATGGTCCTTCTTATGTTGTTCTCTCAGTCGTTTCGCCTCCACCACGTAAGGATCTTTGGATTCAGGCGAGAGTGCATTCCATTCAAGTCCGAGACGCTTACTGATTTCCGAATTCAACATGCGAGGGCATTCCTCTGCGATGCGTCTTCGTTCCTTCCGCGACCAAACCATGTATGCATTCATGGGCCGTTTTATGTGTTCACTGGGCTTAGTCATTTCTGCTGATCTGTTTTCAAGTGGTACAGTTTCAAAAACTTCGACGCGAATTCACCACGGAGTGGGTTGTGTAACAGTGCGAGTGCGGTCAACCTGTGATAGCAGCTTTTATAGGTGGACCAAACCTCTCGTTTGTCTATGCGCCTGCTTGGAATAAAAAGGAACCACGTTCCGAACAATAGAGCGCCTGAATGAACTCCCGCAGAAGTGCTTCATTATAAGAATCTTGACGGGTATAAATTATTGATCGCCTAGAAGAATGGGTTACCCACATGAATTTAACGAGCAAGAGTTCGACAGAACAATAGAAACTGGAGAAGGTTGATGAATAATTAATCTAGCACGATGTCTTGTAAGATGAGTAAATGGGGAAAAATACTGGTGGCGGGAACTCCCATGGATTGAGTGAATTCATAGCATGAAGGATTGTTAAGGACAAGTGTTTTCCTAGTACGTTTTACTTATTCATTCACAAGGAACAAATAGAGAAAGAAAATACCATGTCTGGTGCACTATCTGATACTTGACTACTGCGCGAAAACAAAAATGAGTGTTATTCGTGGCTCAAGAGAGATCCTAAATCTGATTGTTTTCGACGAAGAGAACGGCGCCAAGAAGATGTGAGGTTCTAAAAAAACACTCTTCTCTTCAAGGGCTCATTTGCATTCAAGACGACCTTGTTTTGACGTTCACTGAGCAGATAACAAAAGTAGTTTTGCATAGAAAGGAGAAATGTTTACAAAGACCCAACTGTGCCTTGAAAGTTTCAATAGTAGTTTTCATTTACAACACAATATTTTACATGAGGCCAATTTTTGCTGTTCATACAATATCTCCACAGAGTTAAATCCCCACATAGAAGACAATTCATTGTATTACTAATTATTTAGCCGGCTCTTCATTCAGTCCTAGGCTGTTGTCCCAAAAGGATCGACCCTTGCGCTTAAATATTTGTTTATCACGGAACTGTCCAAACCTTGCATGGTAATGAAACATACGAGAGGCACACAAAGACGTTGTTAAAATTGCACTCTTTGTTTCAGTCAACCATTAAATTTGTCCCCGTGAAGGCTGTCAAGATCTAAATATAATTTCAAAAAAATCTTTCATTATCACTTTAACAACGGGTGGCTTTTATTTTTCCATTCGCTCAGTGTGTCACAGTTGATTTTAATGCAATTTCCCGCTAGTCTGCCAATGATTGAATATCTATATTTTCTCAATATAATCTGGGTATTTAAAACACTGAGTACACAGCACACAATACGCTGTCACAGACGTATCTATCGAGATGGACAGGTGTGTAGAGACTAAGTCATTCAAATGAAGAGAATTTACTTATTAAAAGTTCAAACATGACGCTTTGTGAATTAAGAAAATGCGGTTGTCTTTAACTAACGTTATTCGTTTTAAGTAGGTCAGAATCCGCATTGAAATGTTACACGCGAGGTGAAACGTTTTACGCCTATTGCAGTGGGTACTTTAAAAATCAAAGGGACTCAACTGTGCGTGAATTCGCCACAACAAGTTAACAAAACGAGCTGGAATTACATTTTCATTGAAGAATGAGCTATGGAAATTAGAAAGAAAACACGTGCCTTTTTTCCTTCTTAACAGCTGTCAGCGACCGATGCCAAAACCGTCAGAAAGTCTACGAACAGCTAACTCGAAGCACGTTTTTTCTTTAGCTGTACGGGCCTTTGAGCAATGTAAATTTTCCCTTTTTGCTTTCCCAATTCCAGTCAGTCTTCTTCTCCGAGATAATAGTTGCCACTTTTTCAAGCTAACCGATATTCACAAGACAAAAGGGTAGATAATTCTCTGTGTCTGTTGGGTACAACATAAACACGACAAATATCGGGCTTTAAACGGGCTTTAAAAGCCCTCTGTGACTGGCAGGTGCTAGGATCGTGTTCCCAAGGACTGCGTTATAGAAATACCACAATGGCTATTGTGTTCAGTTCCGCTTCTAAGATTTTGCTCGCTTTAATCAAAACAACGTTTATAGTCAGAAAAGGTAATGCTAAGTTACGAATCACGGAAGGAGTGAATTAAACTTTTCATTTACCTTCAATAACCGTGAACACATCAATTTTAAGGCAGTGAAACACGTTAATAAATCCAAAAGGCCTCTCTAGAATTAACACGCGGTGTCCCGTTGAACTTCCTTGTAAAACCCACGTTGCCATATATCATTACACAAACGGGAGCTCTTGTTATCTCATTTTAGACCCACTGCCAAGCGACTCCACCAGCTACACCGGGAGAAAATTTAACGGATGAAAACATCGAGCTAAAACAAGAGAGCCATTTGGTGTCGTGCAGTGGTAATCACATGTTCAACAGCGTGAAAGAGTAAACATTTTGTTCGCAGAAAATTTCAACTTGTGGCTAATTCAAATCCTAGCAAGTTTCTTTTGAACGTTGTGTGATGATAATTCCTTTTCAAGTTAATTTTGCTGTTCGAATCTTGTTCGTTCGCTCATGAAAAGCGATTAAAAAGGATTCAGAGAGTCATAACAGATGAGTGTTATTGACGATATAGTGAACCAACGCGCGGGAAAAATATTCAGGTAATGTCTTGACAAAAACTAATTGTATAATTGGAATTTAATTTGGGACACGTTTTGTGCAATTATTAATTTGGTGTGTTGATTATATCCTCTCGTTTTGTTACGGCTAAGGCTGTGCAACACAAAAATAACACTCAGATTGAAAGCTGCTGAACAATAGAGAGAAGTTTGAACGAGCGTGCATGGTAATTTTGAACACCTTAAAACCAATAATCTCAAAGATATTACATTACATAAAGCCGATAATCTCAAAGTCGTTTTATGTTATGTTATGTTCATTGCAGGCTAAGAACAACGCCATTTTACTGTTGGTCTTTTATCAAAATTTTTATCCCAAAGGGTGTCCTCGAAAATGGGCAATGTAAAGACCGTGTTAGCAGTGTTAAATGAAAGTGCTATATTCTGTATTGGAAGCAAGGTGTTGTGAACAACATGTTTAGTGGTTTTTCTTTCCAGGTTACAAATATTCACTCACGCTTTTAAACAAAAAAGTGTAAAAGTCAAAATTCTGTCTCACACAAGTCAATGAGTCTGAATATAATTTTAAAGCAAAAATTTCGCGATTACCCGTCCAGCATTTAGACAATGGACATAGAATACACACCGCCTCCACTTGAGAGGGACTCTTGGAAATGAAAAGAGTGCAAAGAAACTCCAGTGATAAATGAAATGGTTACAACGGAAAAGATCAAACATCTTTTGTCGGAAAGCTAAAGCGTAACCTTGAGGTGAAATTAATAAATAACAAATTCTTAGACTGAGCAGGCAAACACCAGTAAATAAATGCGTTAGTTAGAAACCACCATCAGATTCTCTGCCACACTGTCATTTAGTATGACAGAAAATATTCGCACAAATGGCGTTTGATTGTGAGAAAATTTCTTGACGTTTGTTTTCAGAAGAGAAAGAGGATGGCTTAAAAATATTTTATTTTGAAAGCACCCCGACCTTGCAGAAAATTGGGGCTGTGGCAAAAGCTGTTTGACACTTGCAAATTTCAATATTTGGTGGCAATACCTGTGTTTTTATTAGCACCAAACGTAACAACAAATCAACAAAGCATTCCCGTAGCAGTTCTCGTCTTCATAATCCAGCTTATATCTTCAATATTACTATATGTTCCTAGGTCTAAGAATATCACCGGTTATCATTTTAACAAAGTGTCGAGGCAACCCCCCCTTATACAAAAGTCGGTGACTCGAAAGAGCTTGTTTGTAGATTAACTATAATTAATATCAGGGAACACTTGAAGTTAGCGTTTAAGCGTTGTGTTTTGGATAACAAAAGCGGAGAGACATTAGCAAATAGGAACTTTCATGAATTATAATTGTATCTGTCTTTCCTTGAAAGTTATAATTTTTGTCGGTCTTTGAACAGACAAATATAAGTATGACCGAAAAATGTTTGCTGCCATTTGTGTCAGGTCGACATAACAATGTTTTCTTTCGTATAGCACTTAAAAGTTTTGATGAGCAAGGTTGCAATAATTAGGTCTTACAGGCGCCTTAAAAGGTTTAGTGCTTTTAAAGTCACGTTGCCTCTCATTAGAACAATAACAACTTTAATTTGTACATGAGGCAGTATTCAATTAATGTTGCTACAGCGTTTCCCGGCGACTTTAACCAATTTTTATTTTAATCAGGGCCAAGGGTATATATGTAATGTTGGTTGTGACGGTTATCGAATCATAACCCTCTCTTGTCAGCTTTGAGACGAGGGGAAATGTCAGTTAACTAAAACATCTATACCGCCATTAACTAACCGGCGATCGTGTAAGACATTTTCAAAGCTGTGGAAATTATACCAGCTCCTTGTTGACCATGTTGTCAAAGAGTTTGTTCTTGAACTGAAAAAAAAAAAAAACGAAATTTCATAACATACTTGTTATTATACTTCACATGTATTATCAATCAAAGTAGTCACGTTTTTCTTTCAAGTTATTGAAAGCCCTCAACACTGGGTTAGCGGTAAATGCTGCAGATGTTTTTTTAGTTGTCTCGATTTTCCGACAT